GAAAGATGGGGGATGGTGGGCACCCTCGAGAGAGAGGCACATGAAGCGCAGGAACGTGTTCTGGATGCTGGGAACAGGGAACTTCCAGCTCTGCTCGTCGAGGAGAGGAGGGTGTCAGGCCGCCCGCGGTCTTGTCTTCCTCGCGCTGGTGGCTGAAAGCCGACCTGGGTCGGGGGCTGAGATGCTCTTGCCAGCTCACCCTCTGCGCTCGTGTCTGGGCTGGGGACCGGGACGGCCTGTGGTCTGCTGCTGCATTCGTATCTTGAACCGGCAGGGACGTGAGGTCAGGGGAAGCTTGAGTGAAGGCCGGCCGGGCAGGACCGTTGAAGGTGTCGGCTGGGACGCCTTCGGGAGACAGAGCCTGGAGAGCCCTCGTCTTCCTTGTCTTTTTGATTCGCATCTCGCTGCATCGGGAAGCTAGAGCCGAGACAAATATGGCCTTGGGAGCAATGGCAGTCCAGAACATCCTCGTTTTTGCCCGGGTCTGGAAGGTTCGTTCAGTGCGATGCCACCTGCCTTCGTCCTGTAGCGACCGATAATTCCCAGGTGCTTTGCCGTGGCCTTGGGACTCGCACATGTCGCTCGCACAGGAGGGGCAAAATGTCCGTGAATCGCTGCGATCCATCGTCCCAACACGGGCAGGCTCAGGTTTGGCTCGATACCAAGTCTTCGCAGAGCCTCCCGCCTGGTAGGCGGTCAGCAGCGAGGAGAAAGTTGAGTGCCCTGGCGGACAAATCCTGGGCGCTTTATAGGCCCCGTTCGGTCATCGCTGACTGAAAACGGTCTGCCTTGCCCGGTAGCCGTGGGTTCCTGCTCCGTGTCGAAGCCAGCCTCGTGGAGCTGCCACGCAGGCGTTCAATGGGCCCGGAATGCGGAGCAGGCCGAGCCTCTCCATATCCGTCAGCAGCTCGGCACGAGAGGAGGCAACCTGGATTGGGGCCCTTGTTGCTGAAAGGCGGTCTCAGCCACGAGACGGACACCTCGTCCAGAATGCTCCGGAAAGCTGAAGGTAGCGCATCTCGTCCTCCGCTGCTTTGGGGCCATGGGCTTCCTCGTAGGCGAGATCTGGAGGTCTCCTTGGCCACTTCAGGCCCATGGGTGTCCAGCGCTGGACGGAGCGCGTTGACATCACGGGCCTGCAGTCATACTTAGGCAGGGCGAAAGCTGGTGTGCTTTCTGCTGGGAGAGCGGAGCAGCTCGGCTGCGCGCGGGCTTTGCAGCCTGAGCCGATGAAACGAAGATGTCATCCCTCTGGCTCATTCCGAGTCCGGACAGGAGGAGGCCCATCCTCTTTCTCTCCAATATAGTCCAACTCGCAGGACATCCTCCGCGGTTTGGAACATGGTGAGGATCTGATTGGGAGGCCCCCCAGGCTTGACAGGGCAGCGCAGGGCTCCGCTCTTGCGGCTCTTGCGCGACCGGACCCGCTAACCTGACACGGCGCGGGCTCAAGGTCAGCCGGCTCCCGCTGGTTATTGAGCGCCCAAGCCTGACGAGCAGCGCGGGGCTCAATCTCTGCCGGCGACCGCCCCATGTCTTGATTGCCGCCGTGAATCAGGCGGAGCATGAGGGGGGTCCTGTCGCGAACAAGCTAGCGTGGCGTGTTAGCCGTCGGCGGAGGGCTCTTAATGGTGAAGCGGGCCACAATGGCCCGCACCGAGCGCGGGTTATCGATAGCATCGTCTGGGCGTGTTCCAGGCCTGAGGGGCAGGACGAGGCGGCATCTGTGTGAGTCTGTGCGAATGTTAAACCCGCGGGCCGCTAGCGCCGAGGCCTCGCGAGTCGCCTGACCTCCTGCGTGTCCGAAGGGAGAGAAGGGTCCATCTTTGTTTCGCCGGGGTGTCCGCGTGCGGAGTGGACACGCTAGTAACAGGTACGCTTAGCTGAGTCAAAAAAAATTCGCAACCTATGTCGTTAATCCGAAAAGGAAAAAGCGACGGCGTAAGATTTTAGTCTTAAAGACTATATAAGCCGTGTGTTAATACCTTTGTTTTTATCTTCCGTCTCCGTCTGGTGTGAGAGAGAAAAGAGAACGTCCTCGCTACCGTGGTGTCGGTGTGGAGGGAAGAAAAACTAGCAACAGGTATAGTTAGCTAGGCCTGAAGAAGAAATCAAACCTTACCCTAATTTTCGAAAGAAAGAAACGGGCGAGGCAGATTCACAAATATTAAATGGTGTGTTAATATTGTTCAGGTCTTCTTGCAAAAGCACAAACGTAACCGGCAAAGCGCCGCGTCGACCGAATGTTAAGCTTTGGTTTGGCAGTCTGTGGACCGTTAAGCCTAGCCTGCTACTGCGCTCCTCGAGATGATGTGCTCTGAAGCGAGAAGAGGTGTTTGAATGACGCTGCGTTGTAGCGCAAGCTACTTATAGGGTGGGTGGATTCCCTGACGTAGACGTCAAGATCACCAGCCAATCAGGATTGGCGTAATGAGATTGATGCTGCTGTTTGCATACGCGTTGAGGTGCATCCCATAGTGAGACATCAAACGGAGTGTTATGAATGAGAACGGGTGAGCGTCAGGGGAGTCTCAAAAAACCCACACACGAATGCACAGCGATCCATGCATAGAAAGCGGTTTGTGTTTGCAGGTTCAGGGAATTTAAACGGAAAACAAATATGTGTGGATAAAAAATACATATGTAAAACTTTTTTCTGTGTTTGGATTTTATTTACATGTATATGAAATGGAACACATTTGTGTGTGCATTGAAAAACACAAGTGTGGATCCGGAAATACAAGTGTGAATCCTTTTGCGGATCATGAAATACAAGTGTGAATCCTTCTGTGTGCATGTGTGTATTATGAGACTGTTCTGAGCCCATAGGTGAAAAGCAAAAAGCAAAAACGCCTCTCAGACGCTCTTCCGTTTACGTGTTTAATAAAGAAAAACAATTGGACGGTAGATACACGGATTTTCGACATACTATACGATGCTATCTTTTAAATATTTCAACGTTTTTTTCATATTTTCTACATACTGTACCATGTCCATTTTTGTATATTTTCAAAAATACTGTAATTTTTTTGCATTTTTCAACGTACTTTTACTATGTCTTTGTGTATTTTTGACGTACTATACAATGTCGGTTTTTATGTATTTTTGACATACTATGCTATGGAGTTTTCTTTACTTAAAAAGCACAGAGCGAAGCCTCGAACGAAGCCGGAAGTGAATGGAGGATTTCTCTCTCACCTCTTCGCTTCTCTTCGCCCACCACGCGGAGTAAAAAATATCCCACAATGCATTGTTCAACATGGCTGCGCCCTGGTGTCGGCGTGTGTGTAAACAGTTGTAGCCGCGAGAAGAAATACACTTTAGTTTCATGAATCATTTAAATCTCAAGACGATCTCTGGAATACAACTATCCACGTTTCAAGCAAAAAGGCAAAGATGAAGATTAAATCCAAGTCTTCGTATCACAAATCTGAGAATACCTACAAGGTGAGAACTAACTGCAGCATGATGCTTACAGTGGGATGTGGTGGGAATTAAAACACTACTATAAGAGTGTATTAACAGTCATATTGTATGTTAGTTTTGATCAAGCAAATTGAGCTTCTCTGTTCATTTCACCTCCGTTTAATGAGTTATGGCAACATGTGATTTACCCTGAAATCGCTTAGTCCCATTACTACTTAGCTACATTATAAACCCATCTGATGTTTCTTCTTCCAGTTTCTCACTTTTGCTGAAAGACTTGCCAATGTCAACATTGACGTCATCCATCGTATTGACAGGACTGGATCGCATGCAGAGGTTTGTACACTCAGTAATTGTGACAACATTCATTCACACAGTAAGCTTTTCCTAACCATTTGCATCTGATTGATGATGACCTGTTTTTTGTTGTTGCAGGAAGTAGAAACATATTTCTCTGAAGGACTGACAAAATGGAGAGACCTCAACTTGACAGAGCATTTCAGTATGTATACAATAAAATAAATCCCAGAGTATATGCAATACTGTCCTTCTGTAGTGTCTGACATGTTAGGAAATAGCTTAATGTATCTACTTCTTAACTTGAGGAGCGATGTTGTGCATTTGTAGTGAATGTAAAATGACTGTCTTTCTTCCACAGGTGCATTTTTGAAAGAGGTTTCCAACCAGAGCCAGTCATTCAACCTGTTGGTTTTCCATCAGAAGACCATAGTGGAGAGTCTGAAAACACACTTAGCTGTCAAGAACAGTCTGGCCTCAGAACCACTGCTGGAGTAAGTGGTTTTATGTATACCAGAGAATCAAAAATGTTGTTGAATAATGAGTTGATTTAGTAGCTGAGTCTCTCCTCCACCCTACAGCCTGGTGGTGCAGCTGGCCAGAGACTTGCAGACTGACTTCTACCCCCACTTCCCCGACTTTTTCGTTCTGATCGCCTCCGTTCTGGAAACCAAGGACACAGAAGTCTTGGAGTGGGCTTTCAGCTGTCTCTCTTACCTCTACAAGTACCTATGGAGGCTAATGGTAAAGGACATGACCAAAATCTACAGGTGAGAAAAATAGATTTACTCTGTGGATGCTTTGTGGGGTGTTTTTACCTTTTTGTAGCAATCACTTATTATTACTTTACCCCTACAGTTTATACAGCACACTGCTGGAGCACAAGAAAGAACACATCCGCAAATTTGCAGCCGAGAGCTTCTCTTTTTTGATGAGAAAGGTGAGTTATTTGAGTCAAACATGAACTTAGGGCTTTCCTTTCTTCTGTTGTAAAGTTGAAATCCATAAGCTTTTGTGTTTAGTATTTTAGTTTTTCAATGATGTCCCATTGTGTCACACAGGTTCCAGATCTCGATGGCCTGCTGAATCATGTTTTCTCAGACCTCCAGCAGCACCCGGACAAGGCGGAGGGAGCAGGGCAACTGCTGTTCGAAATGTGCAAAAGCGTCAGAAAGCTGTTTCACTCCTGCTCTGAAAAGGTGAGTTTCGTTTGAAAGGAGTAGGTCGGGGCAGAATCCCCGATCTGTGATCAACATCGCTTTCATTTAAAGGTTATCTAATCTTAAAGGAAGTCTATATCAGAGGAATCAGAATACCTTTATTAGTCCCACAGAGGGGACATTTACATTGTTACAAAAGAAAAAAGGCGGGAAATGTTAATTAAGAGGCATGCATAAAATACTAGAGATTACACAAATAACAATTTACAAAAGTACCCATCCAGTGGGACAACAAAACGTACATTAAAAAAATGTTTAATTGCTTAATGATCTGTTTCTCTTCACCCATCCTGACAGGCTTTCCCTGTAGCTTTGCGTAAGCTCGGACCCTCGACCTGCCCAGACGCCACTCTGCCGTGGGACACAGTCAGGGACGCTCTGGATCACATGGTCCAGGCTGCAGCAAATCACGTTGAGAGAGAACACTTCCTGGTCTTGTGGGAGTCTTTACAGGTGGGGCAAAATGTCCAACTTGTTTCCCTTACAGTCCAATCATTGAAAACCCCTCCAAGATATTAAAGGCATAGCATATATTCATCATCGTCTGATCAGTGTATTCTCAACCCTTCAAGTTTCGTAACTTTGTGTCTGATGATGTTGTCTTCTCGGTAAAGGCCAGTGTGGTGGAGGTCCTGGGTGTTATGGAGGCGAAAGGAGAACAGGCGGAGCAGGCAACAGAGCAGCTGGAGAGGCTGCTGTTCATTTTCCAAACCCTGGTGTCCCACAAGAACGGAGCCAAGGTTACCAAGCCGGATTCCGTCTGCCAGGTAAGAGTACCACACACACACAAAGAAGACACCATGCCGTTATTTGTTTTGTATGGCTTCATAATTGTGTTTCCCCGTGCCTGCAGACGGTGTTGCGGCTGGTGCAGAGCTCCTCTCTCTCGCCTTCTTGTTCCCGTCTGCTCCTCCAGATCACCTCCTCTCTGCTCCTCGGGGAGAACATCTCTCTGCCCAGAGCTCTCATCCAGGAGACGGTCCAGAAGGTGCAAATCTGGATACTTTTTTTTGTGTCGTATTGGGTAATTTATGTGTAAGGAAACAAAAGCTCGTGTGTATTTACATGTCTCTCTGTCTTCTTCTCAAGGTGTTTGGCAGCTCAATTGAACAAGATCTGATCCTGGAGTTCACCAAGGAGATGTTCACCATGAAACAGTTTGAACAGGTAACTTTGAGCGATACATCCAGTATGTTCATCTTTCTCTACAACTCCATGGCACTTCATTTTCTCTTCTTCACTCTCCCTTAGCTTTTCCTTCCCAGCATGCTGGGCTTCACTGCTGAGTTGTTGTGCTGTGATGATCCTCGCTCTCGCCACTGTGGCCTGGACGCGCTGGTCAGTCTGATCCTGGCCAAAGCCCCTCCCCCCACCGACGGCTCCATGGCCTTCGAAACATACCCACTGCTCTTCAATGGACAGACAGGGTGAGAGTTACATGTATTATTTCTCCAACATTCAAAGGCTTTAGTGTCATATGCACAGTAGGTACAGTGTGGTGATGGCAATGGAAAGGTCCCAGGCTCCTCCAACAATGCAACTTAAATGTATAAAAGACATAAAGTGAATAAAAACATCTTTATTTCCGTGTGTTTTCTCCTCCTCCAGAGTGTTGAGCGGTGAGGAGTCTGCGGTGCCGGAGCTGGTGCTGTCGCTGATCCGATTCCCCGAGGAGCAGAAGCAGCCAATCACTGACCTGTCTCTGCCCTGGGCCGCCCTGATGCTTCTGCCTCACCTCAGGTATCACCAGGAGGGGATTTTTGATGATAGAATCCGGTTTTAAATGTTAACAGAATCTATATTTGGGTCACATGCTAAATAGGCAGGCACTGGTTGGTGGTTTAGAGTAGGGAACACAATGTCAAATGGGTTTATCGTCATGGTGTGATATTGAACACACTTTTTTAACTAGTTGAAAGAAGAAAACTGCACTTTTCAAATGTAACTATCATTCCCTTTTTTATTCATGTTCAGGTAATTTTTCTAACTTCTGCATAACACTGAAAGCAATTTTAACTAAATATAATGCATTTCAATTTGGAAAATCAATCTGATATCACAGCAGAAGCCTTGACCTTCACTCCTAAACTGAACTGTATTATATTAAGTAGTCTGATCTGTTATATGTTGTATTTCTCAGGCCCATTGCTCCAGCTAGTGTGGTCCCAGCTGTGACTGCTTTCTTAAACCGCCTCCTGACTGAGATTGAGACAGAGGCACTGGGGAAAGGTTTGTGGATCTCTAATAAGGGAGCTATTGAATACAAAAATACAACTACTAACTAAATCATGATATCAATCAAATCTACCCAAACAAGTGTCAAAATATAACCAAGGCTTTGAACTGTGCATTTTCTATTCATGAGACTGAATTGACTTCTGTCTTGCCCCCCCTCCTCCTCCCCCAGCTGGTCTGTTTGTAGCCAGTCAGGCGATGAGCTGCCTCCTCACTCTGGACGGCTCTGCACAGCTTCTCTCCCTGGTCACTGTGGACAAGATCAACTCAATCCTACGGTAATCAGTGCATGAGTCTGTTCAAAACGTATGTGTCAGTGTATTGGACCACAGATTGGTGGCAAATGGAAAGAAAGTGTGATTTGTAACGAGGAGACTCGGATAATCTATCCCATTGCAGCACCTTTTTGGATTCCATGAAGGATTGAACTGATAATGGTAATTTTCATTCTGGTTACAGGAAGTTTCCTAGTGACCTGTCCGCCCTGCTGCTAGGAGACCTGTACTACACCCGCCTGTCACTCAGCGGCGTTTCAGAGCACCTTTCCCACAGTGCACTGCAGGAGCTCCACCAGATACTGTGCGCCAACCTCTCCTCCAACATCTCCAAGGTATGTGTGAAATCACAGAGTTGTCATCAAAGATGCATTTCTATGAATATGTTGATATTTGACCACCAATTGATCCTTTCTCTCTCTCAGATCCGCCTGCTGACGCTGAGGATTCTCTCTCAGTTTGAGGCAGAGCTCCCCCCACAGACCGAGGTAATGTCCAAATTCTCATGAAATTGATCAATTATGGGACTAAGGCTTGTGTATTTATTTATTTATTTATGCGAGTGTCTCCCCCTCTATCCAGGGTGAGGAGAGTGTGGAGGTGCAGCCGGTGTTCGCCGTGTGCCTGCAGGCGGAGCTGGTGCCGGCTTCAGTGCAGGACTACAGGGAGAAGCTGCTCCACCTCAGGAAGCTGAGACACGACCTGGTGCAGCGCAGCCTGCCTCAGGGCCCGCCCGGCAGCTTCCAGCAGGTACGGAGGACTCCTGGCGGCTTTATACTTAGTTTGAAAAAAAAAACAGCAGCATGTGATTGATCATTAATGATGAATCGTATGCAGATATAAAATCAACACAATGTTCTTCTGCCCCTTTCCCTCCAGGTGCCTCTGCGTTACCTCATCGCAATGCTGTTCGTCAACTTCAAGCCCCTGTGGGAGGCAGTCATTGAACTTCTAGTGTGAGTGTTGAGATCTCGCAAAAATAAATTCAGCTAAAATACAAAAAGGGAGAGTTCACCCCAAAGCCAAAACACATATGTTCCTCTCGCATGCAGATTGTTTCAGTGTCAGTTGCTGAGTGTTTGGCCCAAGACATGTCTTAATTATTTGGCACATCAAAACAATAGTTTTTATGTAGGAACTATTTTCTTTCTACACTCAGCAATTATATCAGTGCTAAGAAGGAAGTGTGCATCTCATGAACAAAATACCTGAGGTAGAAAGAAAATAGTTCCTTCATGAGGCTACTCACAAAAAGTTCTGGATTATCCTGAGTAACCATTTCATGATTTTTGTAAAGAGACATGGCTGTTGAGATTTAAAATGTATTATTTTGGACTCGAGCAACAAAAGTCAGGTGCCATCTAGATCCATTTTATTAGAGTGTTTGAGGGTTAAACTGCGATTTATTGAGTCCTTTGCATTTTGTCAGCCATGTACTTTTCATTTAAGGATAAAAAATATGCACAATACCATTAATTGTCGTTATTTTGCTGTTTCTTTGAACACATTAGGGGCGTTCACACCAAGTACTTTTCCCACAAAGGTTCCTGAGAACTACGATTTAGTTGCGTTCACACCAAAAAGTCCCAGGAACTAAATTAGTTCTAGAGAACCTTTTTTTTCGTGGGAGAAAAAGGTTCCTGTGTCTGATTGGCTGGGCGGAATGCAAACCACGCCCCGTCAAACTCCCAAAAACTTTTGTGAAGCCGCCATTTTATTATCCTCGCATTGCATTATTAGCATTAGCATTAGCCCAGCGCAGAAACGCAGACAGACTAACTTATGACAACACAAAATAAAACATGGGAGCGGTGGAGATGAGGAGGTGTCGGCGTTCTGGCCGTTTACTCGGAAGGCTTCAGTAGAAGCTGCTGGGAGTCCCAGCAGCTTCNTCACTTTTATACATATTGTAACGTTCACAGATGGAGTCGGAAACGGGCTGCAAGTTATTAGGCTTTAATAACTCTTATTAGCTTAGAGGAATACAGGTACAGGTGTACCTGTATTCCTCTAAGCTAATAAGAGTTATTAAAGCCTAATAACTTGCAGCCCGTTTCCGACTCCATCTGTGAACGTTACAATATGTATAAAAGTGAAATCTGAAAATAAATATTTTATTCAAAAAAAATTGCTGAACTGAATCAAAATAATATTCAACCTGAGAAATTATTTCAAATACTTATTTTTATTTTGAATACATCATAGTATTTTTCAAAGTTCAGGATAAAAACTTGAACTTTCAAATAAATTGCATTTTTTTGAATGATCAAAACTTATGACCCTGAAATAGCTCCATAGAAATAAACGTATCCTCGTAAGCATGGGTCAGCATTTTCATCAATATATTATAGGTCTCATATAAAACATGTCTCTGAAGTGTTTGGCTTCAAATACCAAACAGACCATGCATTGCAGCATCCCATAATCCCCTCTGTTTCAGCCCTGTTTCAAAAGTGCTGATTCTGTGTCTGTTACTTTAGATGAAAATAAGGTGCCACTCTCCACGCCCCTCTGAGAGATATTTGTTTGAAAAAAACACAATGAAAAAAACGTTATGACATCATAAAGTGGCCAAAATCTGATAAGCTAATTTTCAGACAGGTTTTTATATAAATGGATCAGGACAAAAAGAGAGGGGATCTTTCTTCCTGAAACTTTCAGAATCTCTTTACACAGAGGGGACACATGTTTATATATCAACGACATGAAAAAGTGGATTTTGCATAATAGGTGACCTTTAACACTAGGACGGGTTAAATGCAGAATGTACATTTCCCCTAATTATAGTATTAGAGGGGAAATGTGAAAAAAAACTTCACACATTGTACTGAAAAAGACAGCCAAACGTTATCACGCACAATGGAAAAATCCCATTGGCTTTTTGTCGAGGGAACAAGATGCTAACTTCCTACAAAAATACGGCATCACTGCTATACTCTATGACGTCATAACTTAAAGAAGAATAAAGAAAACCTTAGTAGTCACGTTTCATTTCAAGCAAAGCCTGAAACTGAGAGGAGGAAGAAGTGTTTGTCCTGAAGACTTTCACAAAGTCACAATATAAATATGTGTGTAACAAATTTGGGAATATGATTTGATACGGTTCTGCTGCTCCTTATCTGTCAACTCAACATGTACCTGTCTGGAATGCTCACATTTGTCCTCTCTCTCTATGACACACACACACACACACACACACACACACACACACACACACACACACACACACACACACACACACACACACACACACACTCGACAGGTTTCGGTCTCTGGTCCTGCTCTCAGCACAGTGGTGAGTGAGAAGGTGATGTATCAGGACCATTCATCCAAAGAGGATCTGTTTTACTTCAGTGGAAAACAAGTGGGAGAGTTGGAATAACTTTCTTAAAAGTTGTATTTCTAGTTTACCCCAAAATGTCCGGGGACTCAGTGGTCGTTGGCTCCTTTGTGGCCGCAGACTATTTGGTGTTTGTTCTCATGCTCCTTGTGTCTGCGGCCGTCGGGGTCTACTATGCCTGGACGGACAAGGGCCAGCAGAGCTCCGGGGACTTCCTAATGGGTGGCCGGAGACTGACGGCCCTGCCCGTCTCCCTGTCCCTCACCGCCAGCTTCATGTCAGCCATAACTGTGCTGTCCAACCCTGCCGAGGTAAGGTCACTGCAGAGTCTCATGGGACTCATTTAAAAATTTCCCCGACAAAAGTAATACAGTGTCTGTTTTAGTCTGTAGGAAAAATTATTCTCAACACAAGAATACATAGCAATCTTTGAACTGAAAACGTGTTTATCTTCATACAATATTACACATAGCCACATCAAAATGAAGCAGACGAAAGTATAAAATGATAGATCAGAGAAATGGAAACAATCACATATAAGATACACATTTTTCTCATCCCTCTAGGTGTACCGCTATGGAGCCAATATTGGATTTTATGCTCTCTCCTATATATTTACAATGGTGGTCACATCCGAGGTCTTCCTCCCAGTCTTTTACAAGCTGGCCATCACCAGTACATATGAAGTGAGTGTTGTTTGGTTTTTTAGCTGTTCTATTTACAACATCCTGGAATATGTTGGTTCATCTGTAATATATTGGAAATCTTACCCCGATATTTAACTGCTATTGTCTCACACTAGAGAGCACATCCTGGTTGTAGTCTGAGGTTATTACGGCTCCTATAAATATGTTGAAATATAGATTTGGACCAAATTATAGGATGCGCAATATTTGTGAAAGGCAAATTATGTATTGAATACCATTCTGAATGAAGTATTGTGGTGCTTCTGAGGTGTCACAGCATACAAATGGTATTTGTCCTAATCGGGTACAATATTTTTTATTATAATACTGTATATACTATTGTCTGTTCTTTTTTTCTCTATGTCATGTATCTGCAAGTATCTGGAGCTGCGTTTCAACAGAGCAACCCGTCTGCTGGGAACTTTCCTCTTCATCATTCAGACCGTGAGTAAGAAGTCAACATACTGTATAATGACGGGCCTTTGAGCTTTCAGGGTGAAACACCAAATCTGATACCCGGGGGTCATTTGTGTCTTTATCGTTTCTCTCAGATCCTCTACACTGGAATCGTCATCTATGCCCCAGCTCTTGCTTTAAACCAAGGTATGTTGGTTTCAGTCCACATTGGTCAGATTCCTGAAACATTCCTCGATGAGGGCACTTAATGCTGCTTGGTTTTGCTCACTTGAGTATGTCTGAAAGCCTCCCCCCCCCCCCCCCCTCTCTGCAGTGACTGGGATAGATCTGTGGGGTGCTGTTGTTTCCACGGGTGTGGTCTGTACCTTTTACTGCACAATGGTATGTAAATCAAATGATGTGCACAACATTAAAATGTCATAAACATCTTATTTTCTATGACATCACTGAGTTTTTCTTAATCATTCTTAGGGCGGTCTGAAGGCGGTGGTTTGGACCGATGTGTTTCAGGTAGGCCTCTGGATGAAAAAACAACATAATGAGGGGTTGGTATGGTTCAGGCATGACTGTGAATGTCTCATACCTTTTTGTGGTTGCCAGTGACAACGCTGTTCACCAGCAGCTGACCAGTAGACCACCACAGCAATGACTAATCTCCACCTATACAACACAATATTACATAGTGGACACATTTATTCAAAACACCAACATAACACACTGGTGAAATTAGTGTGACTCCCGGGATAGAAAACAGGGATGATTTTCCTAAAATGATGGAAAATGTCTCCCCCAACAGCTTGGTGTCATGGTTGCAGGCTTCCTGTCTGTCATCGTCCGGTCCGTGGTCGTACAGGGGGGAGTCCTCCCCATCATTTCAGATTCACAACAAGGAGGGAGACTCAACTTTTGGGAGTGAGTATGTGTCAGTATTTAAGTGTGGTAATAGATTAACCACTCAATAAAAGAGGTATTCCAACTATAAGAACTACATATATTGTACTTGCAACGCTTAAACATCTAAACCCCATGTTTTGTCTAAATCAGAGGCTGCATCCTCTTAAGTCGTTGCATTAATGAATTTAAAAGAGACTAAAGGTACTGGTAAACTACCAATCAATTGTTTGATAGTGTTCTAGCGATCTTCCTCGACCTCTAAAGTCCTTAAATGTCACATGACCTAGTAAATGTGTGTTTCTCAGTGGGGTATGATTCACGTTTCACTTAAGTTTAAACAACCATTTTTTACTGTTTCACTAGCTTTGACACAAGCCCTCTGAGGAGACACACTTTCTGGACCATAACCTTTGGAGGGGCATTTGTGTGGGTCAGCATCTATGGGATCAACCAGGCCCAGGTCCAGAGATACATCTCCTGCAAGAGCCTCACACATGCAAGACTGTGAGTACTGTTTTACTGGGAGATACATTTAACTGCTCTTCAAACCAATCAGGCAGGGACTATTGCGCTGTAAAAGAGACAACATACGTTTTTATATGTTTCTGTTCGTGGGTTTTTCCATTATTTTTCCAGATCTCTGTACATCAACCTGCTGGGCCTCTGGTTCATCTTGCTGTGCTCAGTGTTTGCAGGAATGTGTCTCTTCTCAGTCTATAAGAACTGTGACCCATGGACCGCTGGATTGGTTTCTGCTCCAGATCAGGTACCATGTACTGAGGCTGAGATATTCTGATGAATGTCTTGAACAGAAAATACAGAGATAGCTGTACAATTAAAGAAAGAAAATAGCCAAAATTGTGTAAAAATCTTCCCACTGATTCACATTATACAATGCACTTCTGTAATCCCTTCCTCTGCAGTTGATGCCTTATTTGGTGATGGACATCCTGCGAGACTACCCTGGCCTTCCTGGTCTGTTTGTTGCAGCTGTATATAGTGGATCTCTCAGGTTAATACAGTAAATATATCATTTTAGATAACTTTAATCAGCATTTCAGTTTGTTCACTACTATAAAGTGTGGTTGTACTGATAACAAGTTGGTGTTTTTCCATCCATACACGCAAGGAATGTGTTTGATTGTTCTTTTTTTATTAAATTGTGGGTCATTTTGGTGCTTTATCAACCCCAGCACAGTGTCTTCCAGCATCAATGCACTGGCTGCAGTGACAGTCGAGGACCTGATCAAACCCTACACTGACATGTCTGAGAAACATCTGTCCTGGATCTCAAAAGGGCTGAGTGAGTGGATCATCTCATGTACAGCAATTGAGAAGAGTTGTTGAATGGTTAACATCTCAAATGTTTCCCTCATGTTGTCCCTGTTGCAGATATCATGTTTGGGATTGTATGCATTGGAATGGCCGGACTGGCTTCAGTCATGGGAGGGATCCTGCAGGTGGAGTAGATGTGCTTTGGAGGCTTTGGGAGAAGAAAGGTTATGATTTATAATAGCAATGACTTTATCGACATGTGCTTCTTAATACAGGCAGTCATCAGTATATTTGGCATCCTTGGGGGTCCTCTGCTTGGCGTGTTTACATTGGGTATTCTCTGTCCATTTGCCAACTCCAAAGTAAGTCCGCATCAAAGTGAATTAAAAAACAAATCAGATAATAGAAAAATACTTAATAAATAATCAACCCTTTAAATATTAGGGCTTTAAGAGCATATTGACACTGTACATTATGGAGTTTTTTGATACAGATCTATGATTGTTTGTATTACCCATAGAGGTATTACCCCATGATAGCACATTCATGCCTACCACCCCTTAAAACATCTATAACCATCTTATGCCTGCTTTTTCGAAAGGTACATTTTTCTTATATTATGTGATGAGAATGTATTTTAGGGAGCGTTGTCAGGTCTTGTGTCAGGGTTGGTTGTGTCTCTGTGGCTGGGCATCGGAGCCCAGATATACCCCCCGCCCCCTGAGATGAGCCGACCTCTGTCCCTGACCACTGAGGGCTGTAACTTCAGCACCACAGGCCACTTCAACTGGACCTCCACTGCTCCGCCAACACAGTCCACCCCCATCACCACAGTCCCAGTAGATGGCAAGTGAGTGTGTAATTAGATGGTAGTAGTATATTTGCCCTATTTAGTGTCCTCACTTAGCTAAGAGTAATGGTTACCTAAAAAGATAAGATGTCACCCCTTGTTAACTGTTTGGTCCCCCTACAGGCCTGTGCTGGCAGATAACTGGTACTCTCTGTCCTACCTTTACTTCAGTCCCATTGGAACCATCATAGTTATCAGTGTGGGATTGTTAGTCAGCCTTATGACAGGTAAACAATATAGAATTAGTTCAATAATATACATTTTTTAATATACATCAATAAAGTACTGTTTTTGATGTGCTGTGTTTGTTATTTCAGGAGGCAGGAAGCTGAAAGTGGAATCCAGGCTTACATTAATGAAAGAAGACACAACTGTGTATCACCTATTCAAGTTTTTTAAAGACAGAGTAAGTGCTGCAGCAGTGGATCAAAAACAAAGGCTATCAACTAATAACTAATCATTTATGCTCTTCCCTTTTTCTATAGGTCACGAGCCAATCAGAAAAGATTGAAATGACGGGGGACAGAGATAAAAAAATTGGTAGCAGTAATCCTGCTTTCTGTGACGTTGAGCTGGACTTAACAAAAAGCAGCATTCCAACATAAAATTCAACATGTGTTTTTACACATGTATGAGTGTATATGTATTTGTTATGCGTTTTAAAATCTGGTATCTGTTAGAATAAAAAATAAATACAGGAAAATCTAGGCTGTTTTATGGCTCTTCATTGAGTTAATAGACCAACGTGCAATGACTCATGAGTTTGGAAATCTTGGCTGACTTCTTCCATTTTTATATTGATGATTTTTGCTGTATCCTGCAAAGAGTTACTGATAGAAAATAATAAATATATTTATAAATAAAATCTGATACAAGCAAAGACAGTGAAGAATTGTATAATATTTATTATGACACAAGGCATCACTGTTGTAGAATACTGCTTGACTTTTATCCAATAGCGCATTGGTACATAGTCATGTACATTTACTCATACAAAAAGATTGACTATGTATTTACAAATATATATACACTGAGAATACATTGTACAATATGATTCAGTCAGTCTGATACCTAGACTTCAAGCTGTTTTGAAATGGAAAACCTATGATATAAACATATACAGTATTCACGATTCAAAACATTGGCATTTAACGAACTTGACTTTCCTTGGAAATACAAAAAATAAAAGCACATTCTGTAAAAGCTTAATTAATGATCACTTTCTGCCATTAAATAGATGGACGGGCAACAGGGTTTATTACATTTCTGCAGAGTAATGTGAGCTTGATCTTATTTTTAAAGGCGCGTTTGGGAATATGCAAAGCTTTGCATTATTTGATACATTTAATATAAACTGTACTTTACGAAGAATAATCCGGAGCCGTCTATGTGTCTGATTTCTTTTCTGGATCAAAATACCTCTTCTTCATAGCTCGATATTTCCTGAGGAAATACAGAGCCTCCAGTTCCTTGATGACAAAGTCCCCTCTGGCCACCAGCTTCTGGATCTTTTCAGGGTCCATCTCGTCCTTATTCTTCATGAAAGCTGACTTCAGGCGCCCTCTGAAGTAAGCTGCTCCCTGGGGGTAGTCTCGGCCAAGATACAGCAGCTGTTGGAGGATGAGAAACACAAACACATGAAGAACACAACCAAAACGTGTGACTTAATGAGTGGTGTAAAGTAACTAGGTTGATTTACTCAATTCATGTTCTTAAGTAAAGTACAATTTTAAAAGGTACTTGTACTTTACTTGAGTTTTCAATTTCTACTTTGTACTTCTACTCCACTACAATTCAGAGGTACATTGTGCTCCACTACATTTGTTTAATACCTTTGGTTACTTTGCAGATTTTGGTTAATGATATGAAATACAGCTGGAGGAACATTCACAAGCTACCCCGCAGCATACAAGGTAATAAAAACTAGCTGCACCTTTACCAGGTTTCATTACACTTAAATGAATCAATAATTATATTATTCTGGATAATTCATACTTTTACTTTTGCTACTTAAAGTTTATTTTGATGCCAAAGTAACTTTTGGGATGTTTTGACTTGTACTTGTAACAGAATAGTCATACACTCTAGTACTTCTACTTTTAGTTAAGTACAAGAGTTGAGTACTTTTTCCACCCCTGGTTTGAATGACTTCCTTCACTTACAGTCTTGTAAAGCTTGATAACTTGCTCTTTTAAATGGTTGGCCATGTCAGAGCCAAGGTGCCCTGTAGCACTTCTGAAACGAGAAGAAAAATACACATTACGTTAACTGAGATGAAAATGCGAAAGAAACAGTCAAACTATTTAAATAGCTCGAACCCTAAAGGTAAATAGTTGCCACCATGCCACTCTGGATTTAGCTAGCTTACGTTACAGCTAGCTTGTTAGTTAGCATTCAACACATACTACAGTAATAACAGACTCTGCAAACGACCATATTAAATAGCGCATTCATATTTACCCGTCTCGTTCAGTTGTAGTGTTTTAATAAAGCGGGTCTACATTTAAGAGACTTTTGCTTTTCTTTGTCCTTCCTGTGACTAGAGTAAAGCTCACTGTGGGCACAGTCGTATGTCGTTACGTTGTGTCGTAAAGAAAAATAGATAAACTACGCATGCGTGCACGTTTCTATGGTTACCTGGACGCTTGAGAGCTTTACTTTCAGCATGGTGAGTTTTTACAAAGTTTTCGATTAAATAACCCCCGGTTGGTCTTAAACCTTGTCATGTTCAAGTCGTTTTACCAACATGAACTACTATTTTGTTACAAAATATTGACAGTAAGGATAAAAGCCTAGTAATAGGATAGTAAATAAATACACTGTGTTGCTTTCGAGTTAGCATTAGCAGGAAATACTTTCAACTGCTTATATTTCTTTTCCGGTTTTTCCCATGTGCCTTGTTAAAAAAATTCTCTAACTTTCTCTTTATGTTCTTTCATGTGAATGATAGCCACCCAAGAAAGGAAAGGTATGAGAATGTCAGTCAGCACATTACAAATTCTACATTCATCTGCTTACCATAGAGTTGGTTGTATGCAGACAGCCACACCATCTCGCTCTTGCAGTATTTTGTCACTAACTAACTTGTAGGTCCACCTTCACCTCAGTAATATAACCTTTTTTCTACACACTGATTTGTAATATTTTTCTATTCAAAGGGAAAGCTGACCAAAGCCCAGAAGGCGACGCAGCAGCAAGAGGATGAGGAGAGGAGACTGCAAGAGGAAGGTAATCCTAAATGATGAGGAATTAAAATCTGAAAGAAACTGACGAAAAGCAGTCTTTTTATTCATTTGTTTGAGCTTCGACCATGCACTGTTTAGCAATCAAAGTAAGTGTCCGTACCCATGTGCTTTTGCTCTATAGGGGAAGCCAAGCTGCAGGTAGAAAAAGAAGAGCAGGAAAGATTGGAAGGAGAGAGGAAGAAGAAGGTGCTAGAAAAGCTTGAACTTAAGGTAAGGCCAATCATCATGATCACTGGCAATGATGTATATTATCTGACTGTTTTTCCTTGTGAGGATACATTCAGTCTCAAACAGACCCTGATGACTAAAGAGCAGAACTGTTGACACCGCGATAGACAACTCTTGAAATACACAGTAGTACATGTACAGTTGTGTTGAGTTTTCATGGGTGTTTTTTGCTGACAGGACCAAGAGCGCAGAGAGGGTGAGCTGAACGAACTCCACCATCTGCTGGAGGAGAATCACACTGCAGTAACCACATGGAAAACAGATGCTGAGGAGAAAGCCAAGGTCTTGTGTGTTCCTGATTCATACACAAGCATAGAAAACAACTGACTGAATAAATACAAATAATATATCCAATGAATAGATCTCCTATATTAACAAATATGTTGTTTGTGTCCAGTGGGATAGATACCTGCACTGTGATGGCAGCCCAGACCCAGCAGTGCAGAAGGATGTTAACACATACATCAGCTTATGGAGAGAAGACCCCGGGGTCAACATCACACTCGTGCTCAAGCAATGTACTCTGGCTCTAAAGGTCTGAATGTCACGCACACACTCGGATGATGAATCAATGATGATTAAAATGTACAGTGTCCAGGACCACTGCTAGCCTCATCACAACACCATTACTACTGTGTTTCTGCCTTAAACGGATTCATTTCGTCCCTTACAGCTGGCTGAGGAGCTTGAAGGTCTGATCAGAGACAACACAGATCCAAAAGAGGGCCTGAAGTACCAGGAGGGGTTCATACTCCTGCAGGAGCTGATCCATCATAAACACCTCCTCACCACTGATGAGATCCTCCAGGTACACACATCATAGCTGGACTGACACACTGTGATGCAATTGCTTACTTTAATAAAGGTCATTTTCTTCCTGTTCTTAGACGGCCGGTGCGAATATCGACACCGAGACGGGCAACATGCAGACTGTGGTCAAAGACGACAACATTACTCTGTGTCTCTGGGCCAACCTCAAGAAGAACTCGAGGTCTGTGAAGGACGCGGTGACAATAGAAGAGAAGAGCGAACATTCAGATTTATTATCCTTTAGTATCTAGTATTTGTCTTTCTTTCTCAATTCAGGTTCAAAGGTTTACATTTTGAAGAGGCGGGCCTTGGCTTTGAGCTTCCCAAACAGCTGGCTGTGAGCGACATCGCTGTGCGGATCCTCCACACACGTTATGACCATCTGTCCACACTGGCTAGGATGGCTGACCTCAGAATAAACACCCCCCTCCCCAGGTATGTACCCCTAATAACGTATACTACAGCTAATACTCTAACAGTAATGCTGGTAATACCTGTTATTTTTGCTCTCTCTTCTTCTCTCACCTCATCTGTTTGCTCCCAGGTCTCTTGCAGGTGGTGAGGAGGTTCCAGCAGAGATACCTGAGCAGGGGGAGACAAAGAGAGAGGGGGGGGCGGTGGAAGACATTGAGGCACAGCAGCAGCAGACAGTGGATGAGGAGGTGCAGTCCATCCAAGGCCATGAAGGGAGGAAGGTAAGACGCTGGGTGACTAGATTCAATGTGATGTTTGTGTTCTTATTGTGTGTGTTTCTCTCAGAGTGCAGCCAGTGTACAGTCGAGGAAAAGCAGCCCCCAGCTCCCAGAAGGCCGTGGGAGCCGGATCGAGACACAGATGGAGGCGCTCGGGGGTAAGATGCCCAGCCTGACGCTTCCAAATGTAAACAAAAAGAAAGCCACATCACACAGGACCGAAACCTGCTGTCACTCAAAAATGATTGACATGTCTGCAACCACATTTACAATATAAATGTTTTCTAGTCTGGTCTGGTCTACATAACTCTTGTTTTTTGTCTCTACAGCTGAGGGGGAATCGACGTCTCCCCTAGGGCAGCGGACCGTGATGGACAGCAGCGAATGTGTCCAGGCGGTGGACTTATTGCAGTACACACCTCTGGGGGGGGTCTTCTACTATAACGTGTTTCACCTCCCGCCACAAGCCCACCAGGTTAACGGCTGGGAAATCAGACAGGTGAATAGAAAAGGGGTTTCAGTGCTTGGTACTCGCACCATGCCCAGCAGCTAATGCTCATGTTTCTCTAGCTGTTGGATAAAGGGCTGCAGGTGTTCCCCTATCCCGAGGAGAAGTCTCACTCAGAGGAAACTGAAGCTGTTACTTGCCCTCCTGTTGGGGTGTCCGTGACTCTGCCTGACTTTGTTGTCTTTCTGGAAACTCCTCAAGTGGCTCGCTGGGATTCTGCAGGTAGGTCAGGCAACAACACGTGCTACATGATTCTCTCCTGCATAGAAAGGAGACTCATAACCGGGCAAATATTTGTTATATTTCTGGGTGACTGAAATGTTTGGTTTAATAAGATGTGCTTATTTTTATACATTTCTGCAACATAAATGGATAAAGCCAGGTTAAAATTATTTTTGATGACATTTCAGATTTTTTTCATCTCTTTGAATTATTCAATGAATCATTAAAAATAAAAACTCACTGCACTTTAAATGTGTAGTAAAATGACAGGAAGACATTACAGTTGAACAGGGTCAAACAATGTAACTAATAAATATCACCTTGAAACCTTCCAAGTTACTTAAAGACTTTTTGTATTAGAATTGTTTTGACATTAAGTTTAAATATGGCATTATGTAATTACATTTTTTTTTTAATGTACAGAATCTACAAGTGTGTTTTTTTTAACGTTTTCATGAGCATTTACATTTTTTGTTATCCAGGGAAGCAGTGGAGGATGGACGGTATCACTGAAGTGTCTTATGAGGAGGCAGAGGCCAAAATCTCCTTCCAAATGGACTCCTTCCAGGCCTTTGTGCTGATGCAGGAAACGTATGCCAACCTTCCCTTCCTCAGCTGGGAGCTCAGGCCACTGGGCCAGGACTCTGCTCTTTTCACCGTCAACGGGGCGCTCATCGACCTCAGCATCACGATCCAGGTGAGAGACAGAAAAGTATTGTATGTAAAACCCAGAAGAAAGGATCTTCAGCATGACTGATCTCTGTGCCGACCAACAGGGTGATCAGTGCATGCTGCAGTCAGACCAGGAGAGAGGTCTCTCTCACCTCAAAGGGAAGTGGATGAGTGGCCCCGCCCTGCAGAGAGCCATGCTCAACGCAGGGATCAACATCTTTGTGAACGAGTACACGGACAAATACGTCAGCAGCTGCGGCAAGGTCTGCATCTCATCTGGTTTTTCTTAAAAAGGAACAAGATTAAAGAGTTTTGCTTTGATCGCCATTCATTCTGTGTAAATGCACAAACCAGTGTGGCAGCATAGTTTCTACCATGTATCCACATAAAGTAAAAGTAGGAGATGACAGGATATCTCTACAAACAGGTATGTTTACCATGTTTTTGTTAGTTTGTAGCATGCTAACATTTGCTACGCTGCGGATGATGTAAGATGGTGCTTATGTATTCATAAGCCAAAGAATTAAAGAAATTCTGCCTGGAGCAATCACAATGAAAACCATATACCTATCATAAATTAGGTCAAATAGAGCGACCATTTTAAAGAATGATTCAGTTATTTTGACTGATAATACTTCACTAGATTACAGTTCTAAATGTGCTGCGTGGTTTCTCTCCTCTTCAGGACCCACTCACAGAACATGCTGCCTACGAACAGATGGCCCTCTTCACCTCTGCCTGCGCTTTCTCGTGGAGCAAGTGGAATGCCAAATGTGGAGCGGAGCATCTGCTCATGCAGGTGCTCGCTCTCAAACAGATACAGCTTAATCAATTTAGCATTCTGATCTTTTCCCAAAGCAAACCTTACTTATTGAATTCCCTCTCCTCTGCCAGGTGTGTGAGCACTGGGGCCCTGACTCTGTGCCTAAGGGCTCCTGGAGCCTCTACCTGCTGGGGGCACAGCGGAGTCAGAAGCTGGAAATCACAGAGCAGAGTGAGGCTTTCTCTCCGGACCTCTATCCTGGGGGCGAGTTCCACTCCACCTTCATCCACATGCTCCAGGACGACATGAGCCCTGAAGGTGTAGCGAGGCCCAGAGGATCCAGCTGTCTGTTTGTGGACACAGTGCAGAGCCTGCTCTGTGCCACCAGACCACTCATGTATTCATAACCTGTGTGAACCTTTTTAAAATGAATACATGTATAAAATGGATGCACATAAGAACACACATCTTCTATTGTAGAATTTGCTACTTTATTTGTGTGCAAAGTTTCACGCATCTTCTTTGGAACATACAAAAGAAAATTAACTTGAAAACGGTGACAACCACAGCAAGAGGAAGATGAAATTAAAAACCTTTGGTGTAAAGACTGTAACAATGTATAATTATAACTTAATAACAAAAATATATATTCAAATATCCCCACTCAAAACTAAGACACTCATACATATAGACTTCAAACATTTAAAAACACTTAAACTAAAGTTTAATGACCAGTGCTTATTGACTTAAAGTTATAAAATGTCCTCATCATTTCATCAAAAAGGCGGAGAGTCGCCCTTTTTCCTTAAGTGCATGCACTGTTTAAAAAGCCTTGTGGCACAATAAGAGCCATAGTCCATGATGTGCATCAATGGAAACGGCACAGCGGCCCATTGTATGACTGTGTGACATGATTGGCGTTCGTTGTAGCTCAGATGACTGGTCAAGCCTGATTTGACAGATTGTATTGGGTCTGGGAAGATAGGAGAACTGCATCATGATGTGTTCAGGATTGTTGAGCAGCCAACTCTAACAGGAGATTTGGTTTTCCCCACCTGTAACTGCTTCTTCTCTTCAAACACAGACAAATGCACACACACACAGACTAACTAACTGAGCAAACGTGACATGATGCATAAATCCTCCATAGGGTTAAGTATCCCCTGGGGCCTGGCCTGTTAATGAGAGTCTTGTGTTGGGAGTCTTCAGGCACCAGTAAACATACCAACAGCCTCTGGGTTTAGGTACACTGCACTACATCGCCAACCAAGTGCCTGGATCATTTCTGCAGAGGTTGAAGGGCGTAACAACATCCATCCCGAGTCTCAAGGGTTAGACGGGGGGCTGTCCGTTATGCCGGAGCCCCGTGTAGGGCCACAGTAGCTGCTGGATGGTCATCCAGGAGTCCCCGGTCCCCACAGGGGCGGCATCAACCGCTGGCTGCATCACCAGGCTGGCCAGCAGCGCCAGGAGACCTGCAGATGAACCATGAGTAAACAAGTACAAAGCATGAGACGCAAGTATCTCTGTGCTATACTGAAGAAAAGCTGTGTTTGCTTAATGTTCAACAAAGGTCTTTTTCTTTAACCCTCTCTGCTCTGATTGGTTAGCTGGCCGGCTCTGTTGTGATTATTCAACTGCTAGGGCCTCATTAAAAAAAAAAACTCCTATCAATACAACAATTTGTTTAGTGTTTCAAATCAGTTGAAAGTGGGTCCTTAAATTCCAAGGTTGTAAAATACAAGTCTGTTTTGTGTAAAATAGTCATCTTACAATAAGTACTACAGACAAACTGAGCGTACCTGCTAGCACCACCACCATGGCCAACCAGAGCCAGAGCCCCCGGCCACTCCTGGCTACTGCGGCTGCTGCGGCCGACCGGGAAGAGGTGACGCTGTGGGACAGAGACTGGGCCATTCCTGGGTCTGTGGAAGTGGGGCTAGGGGAGGGGGTCGGACTGGACAACGAAAGAATAACAAGTTACCACATGATGGATACAAAAATGAAGCATGAGTGAAAAATGGTTAGAGATAAAGCAAGAGAGTGATTTATTTACCACAAATGACTCAAGGAAGGGAATACAACCTATGACTCATTTCTGGTAACTAATTCAATCGATGGCAGGCTGCGAATGTTGGCGTCAATGCTGCATTTGACCACGATGTCTCAAACAGTGTCAAAGATGAAGACCCATTCACATCATTAGCATAATGAAAAGGCTGTCAGAAGCTCAGTTAATGGCGGTTGGCATGGAGGTGGATTTGAGCATCAGCTGTTAAGGCAAAGGCAGCGGACAATTATAGCCTGGAATCTGTCAACAGTAAGAGTGCTGCTTCAAATCACTTTACAGCCGTCGAGAGTTTCAGTTCGAGGCTGTAATTAGCCTTTGATTGGCCTTTGGCATGCATTTCTTTTTTTGGGACGGAGATAAAATCCTCTCCTCCCTTCACACTTACAGCATCACAAACAGCTCATCCTGACTCCTGAGCAATGTGGAGAGGAGGAAAAGAGGAAAGGACAGTTCAGAACAGCACATCATCCGCTTGCACAAAACACTCATTTGCACCAGAAAAATAAAGTAGTGTTTCACATAAAATGTTAGAGAAAGACAAAATAAGCCGGGTAAAGATGAGTTAGTTCTTAGTAAGATGCAAATCAGAGCTTGAGATCCTTGCATGAAACGCAGATCATAAAATCACTTATCACATGGACATACACTGATCTCAAGACAGTCAACAGCTGAAAGAAATGCTTCATTTCAGGCCTTTTGCTAGCAGGTACGCTCTGTTAACATGATTAAAAGAAGCGGAGCAACTGGAGCAAAGGAGAAGCTAGTCCAGCACAGACCCATTTAATGAAAGAGTTTCATCGCTTAGGAGGTTCCATATAACCACAACCTTCTCTAACTTTGTTTCTATTTGTAACACAGTGATTATCTCATTAAATGATGCAGAACTGGCTGCTTGCTATCGATAGTAGAGAATTATTATTACAAAGCAAATCTTTAAATAATTAGCAACTAATTGTGTTGAACAATCTTAGTATTAGCATTAGCAGTGCTAACTCTCAGAAAAGCTATAGCTTGCAACCATCTGAGTGCAACTTTGACAGAAAATGTAAATGTGTGACTGATGTCAAAACGTGTCAATACTGGTCTGATTTTTTTTATGTCAATCTTTGATAATAAACCTTCTTTCATGGGTGTATTTGCATTTAAGATATTTTAGAAAATATTCAGTTTGCAGCTACTGGAACCTCGTTACAGCTAAATGATGATCTCTCCCAACTTTGCAGCAAGCCTCTTAGCTTTGCTGGCAGAAAGAGGTGCTGCAGTAGGCCAGTGGTGGGTATTTGGTTGGACTAACGTCTTGTGGGGCAGAATGAGGGAGGTGAGTTTGCTCCCCAGCTCACTGAGGCTGGACCTCCTCCTCTCTGCCACCGGCTCCTCCTTCTGCTCTTCCTCCACCTGGCAGTCGGTGTTGTCGTAGGCCGTCCTGTGGGCACGCGTGGGTCAGGCATTCACAAACACACGGCTCGGTTGCACATTCAAATACAACCACACAGATCCTGTATGTACACATGCACTTTTCATGCGTATGCAGCCAAAATAAATTCATTGCATAACATTCTGCGTATTGCAATGAGAACCCTGCACACAATGCATGCCCAGCAATAATATCATGAACCCACAAAGCAATTTTACAACCTTTCAGATATTTGGAGAGCATTACATGTCCTTCAGTCGTTTCATCTAAGCATACATTTTTGCTTAGCTAGTCAAATACAGAAAATGCTACTCTTCTCGTCCAAACATTTGAAAGCTTCATGATTCTAATGGAAAAAGTCAAAGTCCACACAGTCTCAAACGTTACATCTTACAAAAAAAGGAAATGTGCTAGATTTGGAAAAAATACCCAAAAAAGATATTCACTTCTGACAAACACTTCCCCATGCGAGGAGGGACCAGATGCATGTAAGATGGAAGCTGTGGTGTGATTACATCTTTAGATTTTTCCTTTTCTCAAAATAAACAGCTTCATAATTTCCTTTGCAATATTACAGCCAACATGTATCACTGTGGCTAAATATATTTGCAATTGAAATGTTGTCTTTTAAAGTTTCAGGTTTCTTATTTCATTGATTGAGATCAAATATTTAATATTGTTCAACCAAACAGTAATGTCACACCAGAAAGCTGCCATCTTTATGCATCTGGGGCCACTGTAAAAACGTAGCGAGACACAGCCAGCGCGGCACCCTTCTCATTGGCATGTCTTACCCCTTCATCAAGAGAGAAGGTTCTTCAGTTTCAACCCAGGCCGCAGAGCTAACAAAGCGCTTTAGTGGGGGACGCGCTGAGCTCTTCCCGCCCACATTCCTGGAAACCATCGTTATCACATAGGGGAATAACAACAACAACCCTCATGTCATGGTACAGCGCTCTTTGGTTGACTGAGGAACACAGCCAGTAACTTCCTGGACACCAGAAACTATACTGGGGTGTTTTAAAGGGCAGAGTTATTTCACAGACTTAATCTAGTTAATTCCACTCTACATATTACAATCCAGACAGATTTAAACCCACACACACACAGACACCTACCATGGGGATCGTCTGGTCAGTCGCTCCGTCTCAGTCTCTGAGCAGTCTTGTGTTTTGGACTGTGGTGGGAAAAACAATTTCAGTCATTATTCATCGAAACAAAAACGCTTGTTTGCACGATATGAACCATAACTTTACCATATTCTGCATGTAAGTGGCATTGAAAGCTATCCTAATCCAATGAAAATGTAAGTGTTAAAACCTTATGTTTATTAAGGTTAGATGTTAGGTATCTAATCATGGAGGAAGTACTCAATGCGTTTATAAAAATATACACTTTTGGGATCATTTTCTAAACCTACATTGCCCCTTGGAGCAATTGGCATTATTTCAAGCAGGAGGCCAGCTAACTAGTGCATCATGGATGTATCTTTGTATATAAGTGCAAAAAGCCAAAACCCAGGACAATACCTATGGCATGCTACATGATCTGAAAGTGACAGTCCTCACCATGTCAAACTGCATGTTGCCTCCACCAGAGCGAGGGATGGCTGCTATGCTGACCCGCCGGGTTGATGACTGTTGTGGAAAAAGGGAAACAAAAAGGCACTACTTTCTTAACACAATCATGAATATTTCTTACAACTTTAGTCCCGAGTAAAGGACAATGATGAGTTCATATATTGTATAAACCGTAGCTGACCTTGTAGTACTGTGTCGGCTGCTTCTTGCCACGGAAATCATCTAGAAAGAGGAACAGTTGGGGTATTTTGTATACTGTACATGCGTGTTCCATCACTGAGAATATGTTCACATATCGATACCTCAATTGTACATACACATACAGAGCTGATATGAAATCGTCACTGTATTGATTGTATATTATGCTTCACGTGTGTTTCCATGTGCATTTTCTCTTACCTTTACCCCTTTCCGTTTGTGAACCAAACGACCTCTCGTTCTGCATGAGCGCCTCTCTCAGCTCCAGCAGCTCGGCGTGCTCCTTGGTGTACATCCTCCTCAGATTCTCCACGTGTTGGATCATCACCTCCACAGCCTTACCGATACGACTCTCCTGGTGTTCACAAATCACATTGAAAATCACCAGCCTGTACACTTTGTTGTTGTTGGCACAGGAAAATAAATGGTGTAATTTAAACCTGGTGAATAGCTCCTAGCATCTCAGAGCGACTGGACACCCTGCTCATGGACTGGATGAGGATTTCCAGGTTCTTCTGGAGCCGCTGGATGATCTCTATGGACTGGTTGTCGTCCTCACACAGAGGAGTCAGAGCCTGGGACAGGAAGGAAAGAGGACGAAGTTGACGGAAAACACGAGGTAAGCGAAGGACAAATCATGACTGCACCTGACAAGACAGGGTCAATTATTTTTAAAAGAAGAATTTGCACTCATTCTCACAAACCCACCCACACCTCATTCAGTTTCAGGTTATTTAAATTATCGTTATGCATCTAAGGTAATTGATACAAGACCCATTCCATCCATTAAAGTGTGATACTTTCAAGATTAAGGCAACTCTTTTTTTAACAGCCAAAAATGACTGTAGATTAAAACCACTGAAGATAATTAGTATCAAATCAATCCTGTGCAGGTTCAAATCCGGCCTGGAATCCATCTAATGTCATCTTTCCTTTTCAAATCATATCCCTATAAAAGCCTCAAACTGGTCCAAAAAATATATTTGAAAAAATATATAAAAGTCTTTACTATGCTTATCTTTGTTTACTTGAAAAAAAGAAAAAGGTATGCAGGACAGTGGAGTACTCTAAGAAGGTGCTGTGCTATTCATTGGGCAACCAGCACAACGTGAAGAGTCCTCCCTCCTAAGACTGTATACATGTAAATAAATGACTCTTATTTTGTAAGGTGCAAAACAAGTGCTTCATCCACAGAGAGCTGGTAAATTGCACACTTTTGCATTCTGACCTGCAGTAGGCCCTGGCAGCTGGAGATCTCTTTGCGGACGTTCTCCTCAGCCAGGTCACGTGACCTCTCCTCCAGCCGGAGTCTCTTCTCCAGGGTAAACATGTCGCACTTGAAACCCAACGCCAGGCGCTGGAAGTCCGCCTGAAAACATGGAAAACTCACTTGACACGTTTTGCACTTGCTGCTGGACGCCTGCTGCACGTGTTCTGTATTTCCTGCCAGTAGCAGACAAGATAAACATTTGGAACATTTCCTTGTTTGATTAAGAAATCCCACATGAAAGAAAGCATTATTGTGCTGGTGGTGAAGCCCAATCAGATAAATATCATTAAACTCCTGCACTTCCCTGTAGAAAACCCTCACAACACATGAATAAAGTAATACTCTTTCAAGTTCTGCTTTTAAATGTCTGATAATTATTCAATCAAAAGTGTATGGTTATTGTATGGGTTTCAAAGAGAAGTGCAACCTTAGTAACATGCAAGCTAAATTTGTACTTAGATTTTTCAGATTTATGCACATTTAATTCCGACAAAGGTTTAAAGAGAATTATGCAAAATGAGAATTCCTAAATCAGACCAAGACAAAGAAATTGTCGAAAAAGTGTCTCCTGGATCTAGCTGTGTACATACCTCAATCTCCTTGTCATTAGGCGACAGGCTGCTGGATAAAGAAACTGCAATGAGGACTCATTGACAGGACAAATCTGATTACATGTATTTGAATGGTTATGGATTTAATAGTCAACTTGTTTTACTATTCAGTCTTACCTGTTCTTGTCCGCCATGGCGGTACCACTGCTTCCCGACATATCAGCTAGAAAGGGAAATGATTTTCAGTTAAATAATGGCACAAAAAACACCCAATCAAAAGACAGGTGGTAAATTATAAATATAATAATAAGGATAGGAGAGTTTTACACATACATCCTTTGTCCGTGGCCACGCTGCTCTTACTCAGGTCCTCCTGAACCTTGCGCTCCTCGATGACCTCCATGCTGCTTTCCCGCTCCTGCAGGGCCCCGACACACGTTACTGCCTCGCTCTGCTTCACCTCCTGACCTCCCTTTGACTCTGATGCCTCAAGATCCATACTGCTCCCTTCACTCACTCCCTACTTCTTCAACAGCTTTTACATATTAAAGATGAAAAGTGATGAATCACACAAGCTGGCAGTGCAGTTGGATCTTGACTCTGAATAATCTGATCCTGAGTGGAGCCTAAACTATGCACTCCCTCTTCCTCTCTTCCATGCGCACACTCACATAGCTGGAAAGACAGCATTTCTGTTAAGGTCGACGAGTCATGCGGAATCAGATACTTTTGGCCCAATCTCATCACTTACAAGGACATTTAATCTGAATAACACCCATTCCGTGAGGCCTGATCCTGGTGTTTGATCAAATCTGCTCTGAGCCGGTTCTTTTTTTTTTTTTTTTATAAATACAGAATAGAAAACATTATGCATTACGAAGAAAATATGAAAAAAGGGAACCAAACTAATGTGCACATTTGTAAATCGCCATACTTGTGTGCGGCAAATGTTACCAAACTTCTATAAATTGATTGTTCTACAAAATCAGTTGAGAACTCCATTATTGGTCTGGTAGTATTTACTATACCTTACCTAATGTGAGAACTAAAAAAAAAAAACACTAACTTATTTATAATGACGCTGATTTACACAAACAATGGTCAAGTTCGACAGTAGTCAGGCAAATAACTTCAAATTACAAAAAATTACTATGTGAAAACACTTAGTTGAGGATAAATGGCGGTAAAGCAGGTCTTACCAGTTCCCTCTTTTTTTTGCCACCGAGGGGGAGGGAGTCTTTTTTGGCTGCACTATCCTCAGATTTGCAGGGGTCAGAGGTCACGCTGCCAACGCCACTCCCCGATTGGCTGGCGTGTGTGACGGACGATCCCGACTGAGGAGAGCTGCTGGTGAACCGGTCAGTCTCTGGAAGGAGAGTTGGTGTGTGGGTGGTCAAAGTTACACATGCTTGCAAGAAGGCGTAAACAAACAGTCAGCTTAAGAAATATCTCGCTTCATCTTCACGCATCCCTACCTTCCATGCTGGCGGATACTGTTGGCACCACCTCTGCTGTACCGTCCTGCACACTCTCCTCCTCTTCAACCAACACGGGTAGCAGACACGTGCTGGAACACACACATAATACACCATTTGTAAAAACTAATACAATCAAGAGTAATTTTCTGCTGTTGGATGATGACGCTGTGAACCACTCACCTGTCCTCGGCTGCTGATCTGTCTGCAGACTGGTCCTGGCTCGGGCTCTGATGGGCAGAAGTAGGGAGAGGAGGGGGGTGTGAGAAAAATACAGGTGGCCTTGGAGCTAGTTTTTCTGCCCAAGAAATGGTCAATGATTAAAAGACACACATATTCACATGTAGCGTACCTGTCCCATGGCAGTGGACTGATATCTAAGCTGTACAGTGTGTGGAAGAGAAAGCTTGGACTGATCTCTTATATAATGTGTTGCTTCATGGAGAGCCCTGCAGCTCTGCAAAAGTGTGTGTGTTGCTGAGAGGGGTGCTTGGAACACGTTAACACTGGCACAGTGCTAAGTAGTGGAGGCGGACTGCGTGCTACACATAGTGGTGTGAACATGAACACACGCACAAACACTCACACAAATACACACAATGGAGCAAGGTGATCGCTCCGAGCAATGCAATGGGATATTGTGTAATGAGTGTGAATCTGTTAACACACTTCAGAATAAGGGAGCTGCCTTGCTATTAAACTGAATATAAAACCAAAGAAGACCTCAATGTCATTTTAAATAACACATTCTAACTGTAGGCATTAATGTGAACTGATTTAAAGCCAACACATTCTTTATGAGCTTTGACATAAAATTCTATGTAAAGCTTCATAAGAAAAATAATGCACCAGATTGTATTAGAGTGTGACATCTTGCCCTGTGTCTATACAGTGTACCATCCAGCATCAATATAGGAGGAAGTCCTATTCTGTACTGTATCTTCCATTTAGTAAAACAACTATTTGAATTTATCCAAATGCTTCTGATCATAAGAAGCTCCTTTTCTTTGCTGGAAATGCAAATTGAAATGATAAAATAAAAACAAACACCTCGACATGGCTGAAAACCTTTGTGGACCAGGCTGATATGAGCGTAAAACTGCATTTTTATTGATGCACAAAACACCCCCACAGAGTCAAAGCATGCCTTTTTTGGCTCCCTCAGACTGTCTCCCCGCAGGGAGGCAGTCCAGCAGCAGGTAGGGAGGCTAAATAAACCGAGCTGATCAATTTCTCTGCAGGATGCAAACCAGACCGAAGGCATCACAACACAAGCAGGCCTTGGCTTTGACATGAAAACACTGCGAGCCCATCTGAGGCCGCTCATAATTACCATGAAGCAGTCCAACTGCATGGAGCACACGTCAAAACAACTCAGTGTGAACACTAATTGGATAAGAGAGAGGAGCCACTGTGTCCAAGCCTTTGCTAAAGGGCTTTAAACATCAAGTTCATTTATTTGACAACATTCTTCTGCTTTTATTTAACTGGTTTTATGACATTGGTCCATTGATACAATCAGTGACAACAATTTTGATAATGTATTAATTATTCCAAGCATAATGCCAAACATTTATCGCTTTAAAATTGGACCTTATCATATAATTTTACAACAAAAACAAAAATGCTGTTTTTGGAGTGCTATTCAAACTCAATGAAAGTGTGTACTGACATTTGAAGGACATTTGTTCATGTCATTTTTGGACACCTTAAATCAACAACATTTCTAATAAGTTCAATAAGATAAAAATGTAAATAGCATCATCCTTTAACCTTTTCTTACCGGATGCTCTTTAGAAATATTTTATCAAGGTTTCTAAAGTGCTATGTCCAACTGCATTTCAACGTTCAGCATTTTAACTTGATAATAATACTTAGCAATAATTCAATTCCTTAAATTCTCACCTTTTGCATATATTACTTGCCTCCTTTGGCAAGATAGTTCAGAGAATCAGATAACCAATCCTCCCAAAGAAAGCTTGAGCAGTCAGTAAAATGATGGCTGCCTGAATTTGCGATATTTGCCTTAATTGTAAATCTGACCTCTCCTCCTTGCCCAGGGGGAAGACTCCATCTCAGCCTCTCTGAAGGAAAGCCAGCCCCCACACTGCACACCGAAACCCTTCTTACTTCAAAACACACCTCCTTTCACTCAGCTAGGAAATACAAGGTGGCAGAGAGTAAGAGAAAGAGGAAGGGGAAGCAGTGTGCAGCTGGTGCTGAAGAGAATAGAGGAAGTTGCATTCCCTTATGCATTAAAAAAAGTCCTCCCTGCTACTGACCTTAGTACGACTCATGTCTCCTGTGCTCGGGTCCGCCTCGCCTTCTTTCTCTTCTTCTTCCCTGTGCTCCTCACTGGTAGGCTGGGTGCTAAACAAAGCGGAAGGTCAAAGGTCAAGCACTTGCCATGTTCACATTCTTGATGAATGCATGACATGCACTTGCTACCGATAATGAAACAGCAGTTACAGTATGCAATGGTAAGAGAGATGAGGAACAACTTTTGTCTCTCTGTAGGTGGACTGTGCATATGCAAAGCACGGCTGCAGAGCAACACACTCCTCCCACAGAGAAGGAAAACACCCATTTGACTAGCAAATGTGGTACAAGCCATATGAAAATGACAAAACTTCGAAAGGGTGACTTCAACTGTGGCTCACACCAATCAACATCATTATATAGCAAGGAAACTTCACACTGGTATGAAAATGAGTCGGGGTGCGGGGTGAGGCTGTGAGGTAGAGTCAGTTTCCTGACTATGGAAGGTTGTGATTGGTGCACCTTAGGAGGTGGGATGGTGCACCTTAGGAGGTGGGATTGAACAGGTGTCTGCTGTATGTAGGTGCAATAAAGTAAATGGTTCTTTTTAACTGTCTACATTAACCATTGCATTGCGTAATTATTGTCAAGGGCCGTATTCACAAAGGATTTTAGGGCTAAAAGTAGCTCCTAACTGGCGAATTTAGGAGAAACTCCTAAACATAATGGGCGTGTCAGTCTTAAATTTAGGACTCCTAATTTTATTCACTAAGAGCAATTCACAAAGTATTTTAGGCCTAAAAGTAGCACCTAAGTTTAGGAGAGCTTAAAAGTCCTCGAGAGGACTCCTAACTCAGTACGACCTATTCACAAAGAATCTGAAAATGGCTGCGAGACGAAATGTTTTGGAGACAATGGAAGACTGTGAATTGATCAAGAGATATAGGCTAAATCGTGAGGGTATCAAACTTGTTGTGGAATTAGTGCGGGATGCAATAACATCCCCGACTAACAGGAATAACCCTATTAGTCCGGAAATAAAATGTTTGGCAACACTACGATATTTAGCAACAGGGAAAATGCAACTTTGCAATGCCGACGATTTAGGAATATCGCAACCATCAGTCAGCCGTGCCATAAACCAAACCATCAGCGCGCTCTCTAGACCACATATCATCCAACAGTTTATCCGGTTTCCTTTGGACAATCAACAACTACACAGGATCAAAGCCAACTTCATGGCAATTGCAGGTATGCCCGGTGTGGTCGGTGCTATTGACGGGACGCACATAAAAATAATTGCGCCATCAAAAGATGAGGACGTGTTCGTCAATAGAAAGAGAGTACATTCCATCAACACGCAGATTGTTTTCATTCATCATGATAGGGGGACTTGAACGGCGGTATGGGCTGTTATTGAAAGTGTTTAAGTGCTGGAAATATGCTCATTGGATAATAGTTTGCAGGGTGCTTTTAATTGCCTCCTTGATTTAATGCAATTTACGTATTTTTATTGTTTGCTCTCTCTCTTTAANTAATAATCCACTTCCTTTTGTTGTCAATAACAACTTTGGTTGGGTGACTGGAGCGAACTTTATGCTCACAAACCAAACTGCTGAGGATTTATTTTATACTGATGTTTTGGTATGAAAACTAGCTTGACACTTCGCCCACACACATTTTACTCTGCTTTCTGTATTTCTTTTGTAACACCAATGCAGTTTTTGCAAATGTAGAAGTCGTTAGTTCTCACACTTTTGCAAATTAAATCTTTGAGGGCAAATTGAATACATTTTGGATGAAAAAATTATTAAAGGGCCCATTTCAAGGCCATTTCCACTGATCATAATTCCATTGTTGAGGTCTACTAGAATAGATTTATATTGTGCAATTTTCCAAACTCACATTGGTTTCTCAAACAGCATCTCTGTAAACTACGTGTATTCACTGAATTTCACTCTCTGCCTTTAACGGCTCGTTGTAGCTCCAATAGCTCCAGCCCCCACCCTCCCTGTGAGCACAGTGTGCTCTGATTGGTCGGGACGTTGTGAATCGCGCTGAGCTCCGTGGAGGTTTTGTTTCCTTGTTTAGCGAACAGCGAAACACAGCCAAACTCACCCTGAGCACACACAAAGTCACAGCCGAAGTAAAAACAGTAAGTGTGGCTTGATATTGAGTAAGAAAAAGGTTGATAAACGCTGTGAGAATGGGTCTGCAGAGAGAATTTCGCCGCGATCCCAACTGTCTGTTATCAGCCTGCAGCCAGGGAGGAGGGATCAGCAGAGCTGCATGCACTGAGTGTGTGTGTGAGGAAGTCCGTGGATTGGTCCATTTGGACCAATCAGCGGGGGCTTAACGTAACGGCTCCGCGGACGTAACGTAACGGCTCCACGGATTGGTCCATTTGGTTCCGGGAAACGCATGACATCATGAGTCACCCGGAAGAATCAATGGACAGTGACGTATCTCCAACGAAGCGTTTTGGGCAGGTCTGTGTTAGAGTTTTACTCGCTACAGGGTGTACTTTGAGGGTTTTGACTCTGCAGACCATTTACATGCAGAGAAACCTTCATAACACACAAGGGGACGGTGATAACCAGAAAAGCATGACATGGGAGCNTCTCTGTCAAAAGAAAATATATTGCAAAAGGAGTCAACAAAATCTGAACAGCTGACAAAGATTTGTTTCTGCTGAGTGATTCTGGGCCTTCCGAGACAGCAGGCCCAGAATCACTCAGCAGAAACAAATCTTTGTCAGCTGTTCAGATTTTGTTGACTCCTTTTGCAATATATTTTCTTTTGACAGAGAACACAAAGCATAAATCCTCAGCAGTTTGGTTTGTGAGCATAAAGTTCGCTCCAGTCACCCAACCAAAGTTGTTATTGACAACAAAAGGAAGTGGATTATTACAATACCAAGAACAGAGCTGTGTGCCAAATGAAACTCAAGGACCAAATCTGTTTTGGTACAGTCATGCTTCCTGCTGACAGTTACATTCCCATGACCATCACACACCTGGCAGCTAAACATTCCTGTTGTCTGTATTGAGATTCTCAGTCAACAATGGCCAATTATTTTCTAGATCGTTCATTTTATTTAATAGATGAGATGCCTTATTCCTTTACAAGGACAATTTCACATATCCCTGTTATCAGTGCACTAAGCCAAATGTACATGGGTTTCCACTAGGTCAGTTCTGGTGCTATCCTCAATCAATGAAGGATTATACAAACATTTAATTTAAGCCACAATCTCCAACACATTGCAAGAACACTTAAACATAATTCCATGAAAGAAAATGCCACAATTTAATTTACCTGCATAGACTGGACATCCAAGTCTTGCTCTGACTCAGTACAGGCTGCAGAGTCTGTAACAGGAAGAAGACAACAATACAATTTCGAATATGAACAATGAAAGGAGGATGGACTAGGTTAAAAAAGGACAAAACATAGCTCCTGTTCATTAAACACATTTTTTTTCTCCAATTAAACTAAATCAAGTTTTATTTATAAAGCACATTTAAAAACGATTTTTGTTCGAGCCAAAGTGCTGTACATTTAATAAAAACACTTACTACAATAACAAGAAAAGACAATAATTTACAACAGAAATATAAAAACAAAACACAGGGAAATGTCAGGTGTCGTACTCAGCTCTGACTAGAAGGCCAGAGAGAAGAAGTGTGTCTTCAGTGAGGATTTAAAACCCCCTAGGGTCTGGGCCAACCTCACATAAGGGGGTTCATATCCATCAAAAAGCAACCCCACCTTTGGCCATAAAAGAGCAGACCGTCTATTATGCAAGGGATCGAGTTGAGGGAGGGGCGAAGAGGTTAAAATACCATGCATGGCTAAGGTGGCATTAATGACTAAATTCACACTCTAGTTTTCTGTCTCTGCCTGCCAGCTGCTCATGCAGGCAGTGGAATTGGTTGGGGG